GGGAAAGTCAGTCTTTGTGCTAGTTCGTAAGTCGAACGATTGACGAGTTTGACGAGAACGGTGACATATTTATGACAAGTTGACTTAAGGATGTAACTATGTTAGCGCGCCGCTGAGAGAAAAAGATTGAGAGTCGCTGGCTTAGACGCACACATGACAAACACGTATGTAGGTATATACAAAAATTGATATAAAACAAAATACACTTTTACTTCGTGTAGGTACTTTATATCTTAATGATAAGCACGAAGATCCTTTTAATAAAGATACTGCTATCTATACTAATATTATAAAGAGGAAAGATTTAATTGTTTGTTTGGATTGAATAGGCTCACTGTTGGGAAGCTACACTTATTCACGGATGACATAAGCATTAATATATGTATTTTCAAAAAACTTAGGGATCCTTACTAAAACTCCAATAATGTAACCCAAGGTGTAAAAATAAAAAATCCCTAACTTATTCTTTACATCACACCCCTTTACAATAGGTGTCGCGACAGGAAATATCTAACTATTATACTTATACACAATACATAAAAAGTTTTCTTTTCTTTAAAAAAAGATAAACCACATCAAATATCATTTACAAAAAATTAGAAAGAAAAAATCATTAAATCCTTATTTAAAAAAAACAATAAAAAATCTTTATTTATAACTATTTTTTTTTAGTAACCTAACGAAAATATTTGGGCTTAGGTGTGCGTACTAAAGTTATTTACAATTTTTTTTACATTTTTTAGCGCGTAACAATATATTGACATTGACATTTACTTTAAAGTACACTGACGCGTCGGTAGCGCTCGCGGCGTGAACGTTGGCGGCGGACGGGCGATGTATAAAATCGCGCCTGTCTTTGGTTACAGAGCGTTTGCCGATATGAAGTTTCGCATTAGTCGAAAGAGGTTGTTGGGTTAACAGAAACTTCCGTAACAATGGCGCGTAACAATAGGTTCAATAAAACTAATATTTTGAAATTATTGTTAAATACCCGAACGAAGCCGGGCGGACCGCTAGTAACTTATATAACTGTTATTAAAACAACTGTTATTAAAATGACGTTTATCTTAATAAATTCTGGATGCTATGTTTATTAATTTACGACTAATTGTTATTGTTTGTGTATCTAATCGAATAATTTATTTAGATAACAATAGTGCGGCGTTCTGGCGTGGATGTTTTTTTTTTTTTATTGCCGTATAGGCATCGAGCGTACGGCCCACCTGATGGTGAGTGGTTACCGCCGCTCATGGACGTCCTCAATGCCAGGGGCAGAGCCAAGTCGCTGCCTACCGTTTAATACTCTCCACAAGCCTCGTTTGAAGAAGGACATGTCATAGCGCTCGGGAAACACCGTGGAGGGGAGCTCATTCCATAGCCGGATGGTACGTGGCAAAAAAAGATCTCTGGAAAGGCACTGTGGATGAACGTAGTGGCTCTAGGTAGTATGAATGAACTCTACTCCGATGGCGGGCGGTGCGATGGTAAAAACGAGATGTCGGTATCATCTCGAACAATTCCTCAGAGCAATTTTTGTTTACGCTTTCTGTATTATCTGTGGATGTTTTTAAATAATTTTTCTACTTACAGGTGTGTTGCGTTGCAATGCGAGACTCTGAATGGTTAACTCGCGTATTTGTTGTTGACTTTTCTTTAAAATAAAGTCACTCCTATCACAAAGTTCAAGGGCGACTAATTTTTGCAAAACAATAGTTATCCTCAAACTTCATGATTGGTTGATTTTACTTTAGGTACATTACGAATTCCAGCTGTTGTCGCCTTAAAATTTTAATACTTAACGATCAGTTACCTAATTTAACAAAAATAATGCAGTTAAGAATACACACAAGACAAACGCCTAATGCCTAGAAAATATCACGAGATCATAGTTATGTTATTATTATTGAAAACAATACTCGATTATCATTTAATTTTATTTGAATAACGACATCTATTGTTGATCTAGGTAATTAATCGCTCAATGACATTTTTGTTTGTTTTAAACTATACGTACACATCGTTTGATATCCTTAAATGATTCTTTATCTCTAGAACAATCTCAGCTATAAGATCGCCCATTAGCCTTTTTGTATTTAATGTTTTGGGTTTGTTTTGTCTCACTTGTATATTAGTGTACAATAAGGCTAACTCTTACTATGACTGCCATCTAGTATCAAATAGAGTACTAAAAAACTGAGACACAAAATGCAACTGCAACTGGAAAGGTCTGCGACACGGTCATGCCACTGGCATTGTTAATATCACACGCGCAGCGGTGATAACTTCGTCTGCAGACATTGGCAATGAAAAAATGTAAATAAAATCTAAGGTTGCAAGCTTGTACAATATATCGTTTGATGTATTAAATATATTCTATTTGGCAAACGATTCCTAATTGCTAACTCTATCTGTAAAAATTAAGCTACTGGAACTTGACAAATTAAGACAAAGAACAGCAACATTTCACTACGGTATGCTTTTTAAACGCCTAAAATAAAATCAATTAATATAAATTGCATTAAAACAATTACAAATTAAATGAATTATTGCACCGAGTGTGGTAGAATTCAAGAATGTCTTTTAATCTAATTTCATTTTCATTTATATTGTTTTCTTCTATTGAATAAAATTAAATATTACCAATTAAAAGAATAAATTATATAAGTTTTAGTTATATAAGCTAGGAATTTGTTTTTTCTTTGGCAAAGCTTGGGTTTGTTACAAAAACCAACTAGCGCCACAAACCAAAAACATTTCAGAGGAATCATAGATTATACACTTAATATATTTGAGAGGAATCTTTGCTTAATTGTGCACGGTTTGATTCGAAAGTTGCCATAAACCATAAAGAAAATGGCGTTGATTTCTGCAAATGGCCAGTTCTGTCGCATACGCACAAGCTTTTAATTATTTTTTAGCAACTCTGTGGGTCCTTAATTAGTTTTACGTTATAATTTTTTCCCTACCTATTTGCTAATCGCCTAGAGGGTTATTCCAGCTACGCGCAAAAGGGTGGTTGAGCTAACGGGTTCAACATATGAGAATTACAACACCAGTACTAGCAAGAGCAGTGCCTCGCAAAATCTGCGACCAACTGGGAAGATCCCGCGAGAAACTCAGTGGGTTATGCCCATGGGCTAGTTCGGTCATCGAACTCTTCGTCCTAATCGACGAGCTTGATGAAGATGGTAATGCTTGAAGAGCCTAATCGCAATTAAATATAACCTTTTATATTCTGTAAGCTGCGATTTATCCACAATACATTATCATGAGTACATAGTTCAAAATAATATAAGTTTTGTCAATATTAGAAGCTTTATCGTAACATGGGTAATTTTATTCACGACGTTCATAGCTGTGTTTCATTTTAGTTTATCAAGGCAATCACCTTCTTGCAGCATCAAGAACCTATACAGGGTTATGTGGAAAATTTTTAGAAAGTGCGTTGAGCGTATGGTTACAGAGTGGGGCAATATATAACAACATAAAAAATATCAATAAAGTAATACTATGATGTAACAAATAGGCACGTAACGAAAAAAAAAAAGGTACCGTATAGTTTAGTAACAATCGCCATTTGTGTTAACCATAGATAATAAAGTGGAAAGATCTAGTGCTTTCACATCTTTCTCGTGTTATTTCCGAGAGTAAAGAAATATTTTTCATTGAGTATGTAGCATTTTTATTACCGGTAAAATGGGGCGATTAGGGACAAATTCCAACTTTATGACCAATTTTAAGGTAGTTGTTGATGTATATAATGCTATATCAGGATCAAAATGATTGAGTCTTGGGGGCATTTTTGTTGTCCAATTTAAAACAACGCAACTAGCATTCTAGTTTAAGCAAAAAAAGCAAAAATAGGTGTAATCCCTATTTTCCCGGAAATTGCGGTTAATTGGGAAATTTGCTAGGGTTGTAGGGTTTTAATTTATTTATTTAGTTGCATAAAAAATATTGAAAAGCTGAAAAAAGTACATGGGAGATGTCACCTCTCCCCCACTCTGAACAAATATTAAATATTTTATTATGTATTATTTAGACATTTTTGTCCACCTTGAGATTTCATTGTTCTTGTTACATGTCTGTGCAAAATCGACTTACTTATATTAAATTGCTTAGCTATTTCAATTAGTCCCAATTTCATAGGCTTCTGTTGCTGTTTTTAATATTAAGGGATCATATCTCTTTTAGGGCTTTGCACTCTTTGATACGTACACGCGAGGCATATCTAAAAATAGAAAACAATACGTAACTGATAATATAAATATTTACCAAACAATAAAATAACACATTGATAATTTTGAATAAAAGTTCTAGACAAAAACATCATGAATAAACCAGATTTTTACCAACAAATTTAAAAAATATTGTTATAACTGCATAGACAACCCTACAAACCTGTACCTATTTATACTTAGGTCGTTTCCATTTCACGTATTCTCATCCCAATTGACCCTTTTTTCGTGTTTATTTGTACCTAAGACGTCCCCAATATCCCCAAAAACAACAATTTTTACATGTATTTTTATTTTATCAAATACATTACAGCCAATAACAACTGAGACTTACCTTTAATATATATGATGGTTCAAACACTAAATAACATTTATAAATCACAGTCGTCTTCTATTATTATCAAATAAATAAAAAAGAGCAAAGTTTCTAGCACTAAAATAATTACCACCACAGGAAGTTAATTTGATACGTGATTTTTTATAAGTTAGCAGCTATTATCATGCATATTCAGAGTTGTTTTGTAAACTTTCAACATTCTACTATTAAACTACAAAAAATGGAAGATTTTGCAACGAATATAAAACTAATATTGAGCGTCGAAAGATTTTCCCGGTTTTTTCCCGATTTGCCTCTCAATCCCTAATCGCCCCATTTTACGATACGCCAAATTTTTATTAACACAACAAGCGCTTATGTTCAGTTGTTTGAACAAAACTGCGGTTAAGCTTGCACATGTACTAGGCGCCTTAGCATTCAACCTATTCATTCGGCTTCAATTCATTCGTCCCTATCATTCATCAGTTTACGTTTGATTAAAAAAGCTTCTCATTGTAACGTACAAAATGGATCGGAATATTTACGTTTTTTACACTTTACTATTGTATTTCACTTGTAATGGTAAGTTAAACTATAGTTGAAATTATTAATCTGTATACCAAAACAGATTTTAGAATGCATCAATAAGTATTTGCATGGAAAATAGAGAAATTAAAGAACAAAAACAATGTTTTGAAGCAATTGGGTGTCACGCCCATATTCACCAAAAAGTTTTAATTTCTATCTGAACTTCGCATATTAATTGACAATTTTATGGGAAACATTACTACGATCTAAATTGTTTTAGTAGTTTAGTATTTCTGTAATATTTAAAACGTTTATATTAAAGAAAGCACATATTCCATGGCTACAAATCCTGCGTAAATGTACAGGTCGTGTTTCAAGTCCATTAGTACAAGTTTTGGCGTTCTAATTTTTCTAAGTTCTAAGTTATATTTTCGAAATAGTACCTATATTGCCTTGAAATAAGTTGCACAGGCAAGAAAACCCATCTATTTTATCGTAATCTACTCTGCTTAGAGTTTAAAACAATACTAATCAATGTCAAGTAAAATCAGTCTCGGAACATAAATATTAAAACAAGTAAAGATGTAATGTTCGTAATGAATTCCATGCTATAACACAAACACAATGTGTGATCATAAAATATTTACAAAAAACTCATATTTAAGTCATGGTATGAATACATTGTGAAGAAGAAATATTTCTCAGATCTAAAGTAGCTATTTATGTAAATTTAAAAATACTTTATGATGACATTTTGATATATCAAAAAACACACTGATCTTAAATACACTAATGTGATGTAAGATTTTTAGCTTAATATTCGGGGAGTAGTCATGGTATGTGGCAAAACTTGTTTCAAACGGATTTTTTTAATGTTACAAAAGTTTAGAGTTCCACAAAAAATTTTAAGGGCTTGTGTGTGGTACCTCAGAAATTCGTCTATGGATCTTATACAATTAAATTAGACTTCTAGGGCTTTACTGATTTTCTTAAACCTTGATCTGAATGTTACAATTGGCAAAGTGTAATAAACTTAAACAAAAGTAATGAAAAATGTATTCATAATCTGACTTATAGTTTTATGTAATTTTAAGCACTTTCCATGCATTATGTTTTTTAACAACTCTAATTTAGGCTGGACAGTTAGTATCAGAGAACACATGATTGCTTTGCTGCTGAAATAGTAAGATGGTGGTATTCATGCATAAGGAGTCATCTCAGACCGTCTTTTCGCATTATAAGTGTACAATTTCCAAAAATATTCGAAATTGAGTTAATATGTGGAATCATTTGGTATAATCAGCATTTTCCTCACAAATACTGTCAAAAGAGTGTAGTTTAGTTTTAGTTTTTTTTTTAGTGTACCTATGTTTTGAATACTATTAACAAAATTAATACATAAACTTATCTTTCTTTAAAAGACTGATAATGTAACTGGTAAAAAATAAAAAATTGCTGTGGCAAAGATGATTAATATTAAAAATATTACATGTTAAACCTTTAAAACACTTTCCTGTAAAATTACTAAGTTTTGAGATTATACAGTTTTAATGCGAGAAGACGATATGTCTTATCACTAGTAATTTTCAAGACAGACCAAACTATAATGCAGTTAAGATATTGCCTTCTTAGTAGCTGCATTAACATTGTCAAATGTAAAAATAAGTTTGAATTGCCTTTACAGTATCAGCCCAACGGACACCAACAATCTCGCACATCACACAAGAGCAGATCAGGGATATCGGAGGCCAGGTAGACCTGGAATGTTCCGTGCATTATGCTCAAGAGTTTCCTGTTGTCTGGGTAAGTCTGTCTGTGCCTGTGGCTTTTCCATGCCGGAAAGCAATATAATATTTTACTGGTGGTAGGACCTCTTGTGAGTCCGCACGGTTAGGTACCACTGCCCCTCTTGTTTCTGCCGTAAAGCAGTAATGCGTTTCGGTTTGAAGGGTGGGGCAGCCGTTGTAACTATACTGAGACCTTAGAACTTATATCTCAAGGTTTGTGGCGCATTTACGTTGTAGATTTCTATGGGCTCCAGTAACCACTTAACACCAGGTGGGCTGTGAGCTCGTCCACACATCTAAGCAATAAAAAAAAAAACTCATAATTGACCAGCCCCCAGGTCTTTCGTGCTGAAAATGATGACTGAGATTCATCTGACCACATCCAATAGCATTCCTTGAATGATGCACCAATATACTAGAATCAGTAACTGACATTTACAAGTAGAGGGCATTGTGAGCTACATAACATATCACCATATCCCTAGAACGGCCATAGTCAGCCATACAATCCAATTTGAAGTATGGGATAGCCATTGGCTAATCATCGAGACATTCCTCATGTCTCAAGGTAGGTGATGAAATACACATAACTAAACTAGTCGAAAAAATGAAACACCCCAAAAAATTTATAGTGTTTTATCAGATGGCAGTATTTTTATGGAAAATAGCCCATACTGTTACTGTAAAAAAAAAAGCAATTTGAAACTTGAAGAAGCTAGTTTCAAGGTTTTTGATGTTTCTTTTTTATGGCTTGGATGGATGGATGAGCTCACAGCCCACCTGGTGTTAAGTGGTTACTGGAGTCCATAGACATCTAAAATGTAAATGCACCATCCACCATGAGATATAAGTCCAAAGGTCTCAGTATATTTACAACGCCCCACCCTTCAAACCGAAAGGCATTACTGCTTCACGGCAGAAATAGGCAGGGTGGTGATAACTGATCCATCGGACATCAAATGGAAACAGATCACTTTGTCTTTGATTACTGTTATACCAGTAGACCATGCTCCCATAGAGAATTGAAGATGGGCTTCGGAAGCTGTAACAACGATGGAAGGGATTGTTTTTTTGGCATTAATTTATTTCACTAGCATGTATAGTTTGCTTAGCAATATTATCGCTGACAGCTTTATTAGGTGATGCGTCCAGTTATCCGTTAGGCCACGACGAGTCTGCAACTCGTCGTGGCCTAACGGATAAGACGTCCGGTGCATTCGTGTTGAGCGATGCACCGGTGTTCGAATCCCGCAGGCGGGTACCAATTTTTCTAATGAAATACGTACTTAACAAATGTTCACGATTGATTTCCACGGTGAAGGAATAACATCGTGTAATAAAAATGAAACCCGCAAAATTATAATTTGCGTAATTACTGGTGGTAGGACCTCTTGCGAGTCCGCACGGGTAGGTACCACCGCCCCGCCTATTTCTGCCGTGAAGCAGTAATGCGTTTCGGTTTGAAGGGTGGGGCAGCCGTTGTAACTATAATTGAGACTTTAGAACTTATATCTCAAGGTGGGTGGCGCATTTACGTTGTAGATGTCTATGGGCTCCAGTAACCACTTAACACCAGGTGGGCTGTGAGCTCGTCCACTCAACTAAGCAATAAAAAAATAAAAAAAGGATTTGGGGAAGCTTTTTTTTTAAATATAAATGAAGGATTACTGGTGGCCAGAAGGCCTTTTTAGTTTCACAGGTGAGCGAGCAAAGTCTCAGCCAGGAGGGGGGAATTCGCTAACGTGGGAGCGCTACTTTGGTTATCATAACGTACCTAAGAAATACGTAGAACGAGAGAGAAATTATTCGAGGTATTTCCTTCAGTTTACATGTATATGTATATTATTATGTATGTCACTGGAATGGTAGTTCGTTTCCAAATGATTCTTGTCCACCTGATGGTTGTCTGGAAGAGATCGCTCGTAGCGATAAGACCGCCAATTGTACTTTTTTGTGTTTAATGTATCGCACTGTTTATTTGTATTTTGATGTACAATAAAGAATACTCTCTCTCTCTCTCTCTCTCTCTCTCTCTCTCTCTCTCTCTCTCTCAGTTTCCACGAGTCGTGGACATAAATTGTAACTGCATTTTACAGTTCACAGTTCTCGTGGTCACATCGTCGTTTCTGTAGTGACCACGAAAACTGTAAATATGTGTTCGAAACGTTGGAACGACAGTTAAAATCGCCAGATTAAATCGTAAAACAAGTTTGAATGACATGATCATAATAATAAATAAATAAGTGAGAACAAATCACGCACGGTCAATCGGTCCCGCCCAAAATTAGGACTGTGCTACGGGTACCAGAGACTGTCATAGATATGTTTAAATATATACTTGCATAGATAATAATTGTAAATAGACATGCTTTAACAAAAACCGACTTCAAATAGAAAAAATAATTCCAAAACAAATTAATATACACTAAAAACAATAAAATCATCGAAATCGGTTGGCGTGATATTGAGTTATTCATCTATTTGTCGCGCACGTACTTAATGCAAATTTAAGACTTATATGGTTTACTCATGGATGTCAAATTGAGATCCTCTTCCTTTTTTGAAATCGGTTAATAAACACTCAGACAAAGAGCAAACAAACCTGTTTATGACACGAATGTTTGCCCGTTGCGGGAATCGAACCCACGACCCTCGGTCCAACAGTCGAGAGCGCTAACCACTGCACCACCGACTCAATTACGTAGTGGTATTATTAAAATGTTTTTAAACTTACATATTATTCTGTAAGAACGCACACGTCTTAACTTCAGCACGGGACAATGAACATTCAATCAACACGATCTCTTATCACGTAAAATTTATAATATATGATTATTTTCAATAAAATTTTATGAAGTCATCTTGTTTTTCGCTTTAACTAGCGTGAATCGTTCAAACAATATAAACATTAACATAAATATAATAATAATGCACGACAATGTATATGTGGCTTTTTAATTCAATTGTGTTTTTTTATAGCATAACATGCCCATAGATCTTATGAAGTGACAGAAGCGACGAATTTATTTAAATGTATTGTTATTCATTCGCTCAACTCGTTCGTATTTGGTTCGTATATGAAGGTCAGGATGTCTCTTTGTCTTTGACAATATTGACACCTTTGTTCCGTATCCAATCGCCGGTAGCCTAAGGGGCTATTGCAGCTACGCCCTGACGGGTAGGTGAGCTCACGGGCTCAACCTGAGGGTAGGTAACTCTAGCCCTAGCAAGAGAAGTGCTTCGCTGAATTGTGACCACTTATAAATATATTCGTTCATGCGACCATCGTTCAGGGTCGCATTCTCACTTTCTTCGGGCATGTGTCGCGGCGAGGTGACGACTCAGTTGAGCGCCTTGTGGTGCAGGGCATGATAGAGGGTGCAAGACCGCGCGGCAGATCACCGTTACGATGGACCGACCAAATAAAGGCAGCTCTAAACGGTCCCGTTAACGAGTGCACAAGAAGGGCCGCGGTACGCGAGGAATGGCGACGTCTGGTGAAGCGCACCACCAACCGAAGTGATAACCACGACCACTCTGCCAAGAGTGCATACGACTAAGAAGATAAATATATTTATGAAGTCGTCGTGGCTTAAACGATAAGACGCCCGGTGCATTCGTATCAAGCATCTCCCTAATGAAATACGTGCTCAACAAATGTTTACGATTGACTACCTCGATGAAGGAGTAAAATAAGAATCAAGTACTTGAATATTATAATTTGCGAAGTTACTGGTGGCAGGGGCGTTTTGTGAGCTAACAAGGGTAGGTACCACCACCCCGCCTATTTCTGCCGTAAAGCAGTAATGCGTTTCGGTCTGAAGGGCGGGGCAGCCGTTGTACTGTAAAACTGAGACTCAGAACTCATGTCTCAAGGTGGGTAGCGGCATTTACGTTGTCGATGTCTATGGGCTGCACTAACTACTTCAGGCCAGGCGGCCGTTCAGTTCTTTAACGAGTTCCATTCACTGATTTCTACGGACTTCGATAGTTTACGTCACAGGAGTGTGGGTCATGTTCGCTTGTAAATGAAAAGTGCAATGCATCTCCCAAGGTATATCGAAGTACCGGCTTCTATAATAGAAATAGTAAGTACTCTATGACTTAATAATTCAGGCGCTTGGTTAATTGACGTCTAGTTGAAGGTCCTTGTATATTAATGTGTACAAATTGATATTAATTTATCTACGGACAACCAATGTGACTATGAAGCCTTCAACAGAAAATGTGGTATGGAAACTAAAGTATTCGAATCGTCTCTCGAAGGTCGGAATATTATTTAACGGCCGATTACCACTTGAACGGTCGTTTTTTTTTTTTTTTTATGATTGAAGGATTACTGGTGGCCCGGAGGCCTTTCCAGTTTCACCAGGACAGGGGAACGGTCGTTTGTTCTATTGTCGTCTTATATGAGAACGGACAATTCGTTCTTTTTCGTCTTTTTGTGTCTTTCTTTGAGGACGTCAAAAAATGTACTGCCGTGCCGCTGGTCACGTACGCCCTCGTTCCATTTCTTTTCGAACTATTTTCAAATCTCTGTCTTAGTCAGTCTCTATGTCTAGTCATTTTAGGTCTTATGTCCTGTCAAAGAGGTTGCACGCCACGACAATTGTCTTCTTATATTTATATAAATAAATTGATTTTTGATGTATATTTTGACAAGCAAAGCCCAGGGATTCGTTCGGATTGTCGATAATCCTATTGTCACGGATCGTTTGGAACCTCTCGGTCTGCGGAGGGACTTTGGTTCCCTCTGTATTTTGTACCATATGCTCCATGGGAAGATGGCTCTCTGAGGAATTGTTTGAGATGATACGTCATCTCGTTTTTACCATCGCACCGCCCGCCACCGGAGTAGAGTTCATCCATACTACCTGGAGCCACTGTGGTCATCCACAGTGCGTTTCCAGAGGTATTTTTGCCACGTACCATCCGGCTATAGAATGAACTTCCCTCCACGGTATTTCCCAAGCGCTATGACATATCCTTCTTCAAATCAGGCTCGTGGAGAGTATTAAGCGGTAGGCAGCAGCTTGGGTCTGCCCCTGGCATTGCTGAAGTCCATGAGCGACGGTAACCACTTACCATAAGGTGGGCCGTATGCTCGTCTGCCTACAAGGGCAATAAAAAAAATCTTAGTACATAATATTAGGTCCTCACATATGAAATTGGCGTTTTGTAAGGTAGGAATATAAAGTCATTTTTTTGTAAAATATATTTAATTAATCAAAGTATGCACCGTTGTATGTGCATATACTTTGATGTATCTCATAGGTAGTGCATTGGTCCCTTTACTAAAAAAATCATGGGGTTGAGAATCAACCTCTTTGAAGGCGGTTTGGACTGCCGCATCGGAGTTGAATTTTTTTCCTTGTAAGAAGTTGTCCAAATTTCGGTATATATGCATGCAGACTGCAAGACAATGCCGCGTGAACCCAACCTGAGGGTGTTCACGAACCTTCTCCGTACCGCCTTTTATAGGCAGCGGCAACATACCCTCGAATAAAAAACAGTCAAAAAAAGTTAAACCTTTAACGATATATTATTATATATTTTGTTGCAGACCAAGCGCGATCGTTTGAAGACGATCGAATCGATACCCCTGTCGACCAACGCCGGGCTCATCATCAAGGACTCTAGATTCTCGCTGCGCCACGACGAGGCAACGGCCACGTTTACGCTCTCCGTGAGTTGTCCTCCAGTATAATTGCGTACAAAACTATTTATATATAAATGAATTGCTGTTCGTTAGTCTCGCTAAAACTCGAGAACAGCTGGACCGATATGCTTAATTTTGGTCTTAAATTATTTGCGAAAGTCCAGAGCAAGTTTAAAAGGTAGATAAATATGAAAATGCTCGGAATTAAATAAAAAATAAGAATTTTGTTTTTCCTTTGATGTATCCCCCGTCGGACGGATTCCTTTTGTTTGTTTTAAGTTTATTTTATACAAAAGTTTAGGTCTTTTATTTATCGATTGAGGCTCTATGAAGTTTGCCGGGTCAGCTAGTTTCCATATACATATCGCACATACGGTACAATAAACGTCACGTAATTTTTCAGGAGAAACATTGGAAAATTCAACATCTTATTATATAATTCTTATATAGTTCTAGGCTTCTAGGTTATAGCTCTAGGTCTTAGTGCTAGCCTATAGAAATGAAATGATAATATTTAAACTAAAACTTTAAACTTCATCAGTAAAAGCAAACATCCCTCTCGTCTCGCTAATAACTATTAAACGGTTCAGTGTTAACAAAAATTGCATAAGTGACTTAATAGCATCGTATGTGCAATATATGGAGTCTTCTATTCGGGTTGGACCAGTGAATCTGTGAATCATCATTATCCAGCCCTTCTCCCAGTTACCTGGGGTCGGCGCAACACGTTTTCTCCTTCCATACTCTTCTATCGTATACCATTTCTTCGCTCACTCCCCTCTTACCCATATCGACTTTCACGCAATCCATCCATTTCTTCTTAGATCTACCTCTTCCTCTATATCCTTCCACATTCATAGTGAACATTTTTTTTTTTTAAATCTTGTCCGTACTATTTGCCCCATTGAATAAATAAATAATAAATATTTACTAACAGTCACGCCACGTTAACTGGTCCCGTGATAAGTTCGTAAAGAACTTGTGTTACAGGTACCAGATAACGGAAATAAATATAAGATTTTTATTATACACATACACATATTTAATATACATCCATAACCCTGGAAAAGACATTTATATTTATCATACAAATATCTTCCCTTGGCGGGATTCGAACCCGCGACCCCCTTGTGTAGTGACCATGTCACTTACCACTACACCGGACGGCCGTTATACTATAATATACTATATACTATATATATTCTTACCAACCTTATTTTCATCTCGTCTCATCATAATATGTCCATACCATCCCAAACTCGCACTTCTCAGCTTCTCTGTCACAGGTGCCACTTTCAGACTTCCTCTAACATATTCATTCCGTATTCTATCCATTCTCGTTACTCCACACATCCATCGCAACATTCGCATCTCCGCTGCATGCAATCGCCTTTCAACCAGTGAATCAGTGAATGACTTCACCAAAACTTAATTTTCTATTACGTCTTTCTTAATTTATGTAACTATAATTTATACATGGAGTTACACCGCGTCTGTCTGTTTGTCATAACTACCGTCCTCTCACTTAAAAAATAAAACTATGTGTTCAACATTCATTCGCCGTCTTTCTTACTTCCTAACACGACATCTCCTATCTCTCTCACTCAGTCATGCTCTATATCTGTCATACACATATGATTATGAACTAGGGTTCGTGAAAAATATAATAACTCGAAATAAAAACTAATTAATTTTTTTTTTTATATTGCTACGACAATTAAGGGTAGAGACTCCACTTACAACACACTAATTTAATGCTTTGAGCGCGAACTGTCGATAAATCGACTCTTTATTAATGCGTATAAAGGACCGAGCGTCGGAATATCGACTATTTGCGCAGCTTGATTATAGGCATTAGGTATCGACGTGTACGGACGTGTCTTTGCGCGCGCACGTATAACCTTTTTAATAAATTAACATAAAAAAAAAACATGTAAAATTATTTTGCTGCAGATTTAACATTGAGTTTGTAATTCTTTTTCAAAAATCCCTTCGAAATTCCTGCAAAATCTGTGAAAGTAAGCTCAGCAATAAAAGGGTTAACTATTAATTACGACAATTAAAGGTAGACTTGACAACTAACTATTGTCAAATTATAATTCAAACTAAACATTTTTTTTTCTTTCATTTCGGTCGAAGACGCCTGATCAGCCGAATTACGGTAAAAGCTTTGATCACATCCATCGTATCGTGAACCACTGTAATTGAACTATTATATCCTGATTCCGCCAATAGATCAGGGATATTCAAGAGAACGACGCTGGCTGGTATCAGTGCCAAGTGCTGATGTCCATAAGCAACAAGATCGCCGCTGAAGTGGAGCTCCAGGTCAGGAGGCCTCCCATCATATCGGACAATTCCACCAGGTCAATCGTCGCTAGCGAAGGGGAAAGTAAGTATAGGCTATAGATGGGACAATTAGGAATCGTGGCCTAAAAGATAAGAGGCCTGGACTGCTCGTATCGAGGCGACTGTTCCGATGTTCGAATCCCGCGGGCGGGTACTAATTTTTGTATTGAAATACATACTTAACAAATGTTCACGATTGACTTCTATGATAAAGGAATAACATCGAGTAATAAAAGTTAAACCTGCAAAATTATAAGTTGCGTAATTACTGGTGGTAGGATGTATTATGAGTCCGCACGGGTAGGTACCACCGGCCCGCCTATTTCTGCCGTAAAGCAATGCGTTTCGGTTTGAAGGGCGGGCCAGCCGTTGTACTGTTAAAACTGAGATCTATGAACTCATGTCTCAAGGTGTGTGGCGGCATTTACGTCATAGATGTCTATGGGCTTATTTTAACTACTTAACACCAGGTGGGCCGTGAGCTCGTCCAAACATTTTAGCAATTAAAAAAAAGCGGCCAATTTTTGCAACTTCACATGAGAGCCATTTTAAGTTTAAAATTAAGTTCTAAGAAAACTATATGTATAGAATAGTGATTAATTTTAATCTCATTTTAGGTGTTCAAATGGAATGCTACGCTGGTGGCTTCCCGCCCCCGAAGATATCCTGGCGCCGCGAGAACAACGCCATCCTGCCGACGGGCGGCTCCATCTACAGGTGAGGACTGTGAGCACGCATGAGCCACGCCAATGTGACCCTTGTTGACACATTGTGTGTGTAGTGAAGTCGTCGTGGTCTAAAGGATAAGACGTCCGGTGCATTCGTGTGTAGCGATGCAACGGTGCTCGAATCCCGCAGGCGGGTACTAATTTTTGTAATGAAATAAGTACTAGAGAAATCTTCACGATTGACTTCCACGGTGATGGAATGACATCGTGTAATAAAAATGAAACCTGCAAAATTGTAAGTTGCGTAATTACTGGTGGCAGGATGTATTATGAATTCGCACGGGTAGGTATCACCACTCCACCTTTTTCTTCCGTAAAGCAATAATGCGTTTCGATTTGAAGAGCGGGGCAGCTGTGATAACTATACTAAGACTTAGAACTCATATCTCAAGGTGGGTGGCGGCATATGGGCTCCGGTAACCATTGAACACTTGTCTGTGAGCTCCTCCACCCATCTAAGCAGTAAAAAAAAATTACAATAAGAGTCCACACGGGTAGGCATCACCGACCTCTACCCCAATTGAAACCGGATATCTCAAGATGAGTGAGGTCTATGGGCTCCTATAATCTAATAGATGTTGCCATAAAAATACCTCTATAAAAGTTTACCGGGGTCCACCTGTTCTATAAGCTGGGATCGATTTTATACTGATGGGTTCACCATCCGACATACCACCAGTAAATACAGTGGCAGTCCCGCCCCCCACTTTGGGAAGGGGGGGGCGGGACTGCGGGGGGCGGGTTCGGTCGTCTACATGTGTGGTCCGCGCAGGGGCAACGTGCTGAAGATAAGCGCCGTACACAAGGAGGACCGCGGCACTTATTACTGCGTGGCGGACAATGGCGTCGGCAAGGGCGCCCGCCGCAACATCAACCTCGAGGTGGAATTCGCGCCCGTCATCTCCGTGCCCCGCCCGCGCCTCTCCCAGGTGAGGACCACAGACCGCAGACTCACTAAAAGGTCGTATTTCGGTCGCGTGGCGAACGCTGGTCGAAAACTCTTAGTAGGGCTACACGTCTAGAACCTTTTGAAGCTGTGTCTAAAGGTATAAGTCGCGCCAGTAAAGCAAACGAATCGAAAATGGCGTCTATGTACCTGCACTGACAGATGGTAGGGTCAACAAATAAAAAGAAAGATGAAAAAGTTGGTTATTGTAAAAAAAATATAAAAAAACAAATGAGAATATAGGTACTTTACTTTGGTGTCTTGGCATTTAACAAAAACAACAAAATAACAACGAAATAACGAACAAATGCAACAAATAACAACATAATTTGAGAGAAAACAGAGCGCGTCGAGACAGTGTGAGAACAAAGTCAGAACTGATATTTTTTTGCATGCAGTACGCGCCGTGTGCGACTAAAGACAGCAATAGTTTAAGAGTGAGAGCGCATGATCGCCGCCGCCATCTTAGATTCGTTTCTCTATTGACGCGGCTTATACTGATTTTTAGTACCGATAATTTATTAACTATTGTTTGACTAGCCGATGCCTATGGGCGCATTGCTGTTTGCTTGGACCTATAGGTTACTTATGACGACGCTTGTAGCTGAAAGTAAGTATTGTGGTTTTTGACGAAGCATATTGCGGATAATTATATGTACTTTTAGGTTTAAACTACCTTCATTTTGAATAAAAAAAAAAAAATTACAATAGCCAAACTGTGAGTCGGTTTATCTGATTATGAAGTTAAAGACTTCACTACAGGTTTAAAGGATCTCATCAAAGGACATTGGCGCAACTGGTTAGTTGTTCAGCAGATACTTCCAATACTGCTCCAAATTTGTATATAGTAATTGTCACAAACTATTGTAGTGATAATGTCGAAGTAGAATTGGAATTGTATCCAGAAGAACTGATCAGTATACGGTTGAAACTTCGATTTCAATACATGAGTCATAGCCCAACCCAGCACAGTTTGGCTTCAGAACGATATCAGTAATGTGAATGCGTCGGTATGTCCGTATGTCTCCGCCTCACGTGTGTGCTAACTGTTCCAGGCCCTCCAATACGACATGGACCTGGAGTGCCACGTGGAGGCCTACCCGCCGCCCGCCATCACCTGGCTGAAAGACGGCATCCAGCTGTCGAACAACCAACATTATAGGTGAGAGAACTAATGTCCTATCGGATCTTCTCGATCCACTGAGGGTGCTTTTAGGCACTCCAAGCACCGTTCTCAAGAGTCTGATGGGTAATTTAATCCTCAGTTCAGCGAAGCACTGCTCTTACTAGGGCCAATGTTAGAAAACTCTCTCAGATTGAGCCCGTGAGCTCACCTACCAATTAATTGAAACAAAAAATGACCCCTAGACGCTATTGGTAATTAGCTAGTGAAAAGTTTGCATTTCAATTACCAGGAATTGTCTCACCAACATACATATAATTATATTTAAAATAACGCTGATGTCCCGTGGAGCTTAGCAACAGAGCAGCCCTGCGCTCAAATGATAATTCCACTGGACAGTACCGTTGAGGTCCTAACCTCAAGATCATCAGTCGACTCCAATAAAAGTATAGCATCTCCCAGAATGTTACATACATACACCTCAATCCAGTTTCATTATTAACATACATCCTAATATACTATTCGTCTCATTAGTCTATTGGTCTACTCGCCACAGGTTCGATTGAGGTGTTTAGTATTAGAGATCATATTACAACTCGTAAAGTTCACAGGAGAATGTTCCTTCAGGCCGCTGACTTAGAGTCTGTTTTGCTTGCAGGATCTCGCATTTCGCAACGGCGGACGAGTTCACAGACACCACGATCAGGGTTATCACGATCGAGAAGCGACAGTACGGGCTGTTCACGTGCAAAGCTCAGAATAAGCTGGGCACAGCGGAAGGGAACGTCGAGCTCACAGGTACTCACGTGCAGAAACGTCTCGATACTCATCTGATTTGGCTGAGAAGTGACATTGAACTAGTACAAGAGCCAGGGTTGTGCAAGATGACTGGTGGTAGGACCTCTTGTGAGTCCGCACGGGTAGGTACCACCGCTCTGCCTATATCTGCCGTGAAGCAGTAAGGCGTTTCGATATGAAGGGTGGGGCAGCCGTTGTAACTATGCTGAGACCTCATATCTCAAGGTGGGTGGCGGCATTTACGTTGTAAATGGCAATGGGCTCCGGTGCTACTTAACACCAGGTGGGCTGTGAGTTCCTCCACCTATATAAGTAATAAAAAAAAAGTTAAAATAAAAAGAACTTTCCCGAAGATACAATCTGATAGTATTGTAGAGCCGTACCTTGCATGCTTTGTAAGTACGACAGTCAAGGATTATGATCCTGGACAACTATTACCCAGGATCCGACTAGCTCGATCCGTAGAGGTCGTTGACACCACCGGATCAGCTGTTCATTCGCGTTACATTGCTTGTAGTGAATAGATTTTTTTTTATCGATATTTTTATTGGTAATAGCATCGGATGTCATCGTCATTTTAATTAAATACTTCGTGCAATTTGAATGTTGAGTTTAACGCATGCCTTTTGTTTTTCGTTTTTGCTTTTAGAATCAATTATACCCGTGTGCCCTCCCGCCTGCGGCCAGGCGCGGTACGGAGGCGCCGCGGCCGTGGCGCCCTCTATAGGGACTGTCCTTGCTTTGTTGGGGCTGTACGTGGGAATGGCTTTTAGAAGGTACGCACACGTAGCCGGCAGTCTTATACTACATAACTATAGACACAGTCCTCTGCAGCTCTGTACTGATCCCGAGCTCTTCTCGTACACAAACAGACACAGATCCGACCTACATCTAGCCTCTAGTCCTATACTACACTACTATAGACACAGTCCTCTGCAGCTCTGTACTGATCCCGAGCTCTTCTCGTACACAAACAGACACAGATCCGACCTACATCTAGCCTCTAGTCCTATACTACACTACTATAGACACAGTCCTCTGCAGCTCTTACGAATCACAATCTTACAAATATTTATTTTGTTTTTTCTCAACAGAATCACCAATACCAAACATTAACTACCCGGGTTTGAGACCAGACCCGCTTGTATACGGAGATCCGAATGCGGCAACTAAACTACTGGAACATATCTCTATAACGTCACTGATTTTCATAGTATACATGTTTACAAGGTAATGAAGATATATCTCAATATAAAAATGAAAAGAAACTTGCTTCTCTTCTTGTAACTTATTTGTTGCGAGAGGATAATTCTAAGGAAGACACGAATGGTTTTTTTTCCCCTGATGATTTATTATTATAAAAGTACGTAGATTATAAGTCGATTAGTGTTTTATCATTAGAATATCGTCCACGTATAGATGAAGGGTTTCTTCAGTTCTTTTTTTTTTCAACTCCAGTACCGAAGTTTCTTTATATGACGTCATTTGACGTCATGACGTCACAACCGGACTGATTGTGCGTATATAAATTATATATAGAGTAACTCCACAAATCGATCACTCGACTGTTACAAAGGCCCTCCGAAGACAGTACGACAGTAATCATAACGATACAAACACATGTGTCGATGTTTTAGAATTTCGCGAACCCGCAATGGAAAACGAAGTGGCTTAACAGCTGATATCGAATCGTCTTACATTGCGTGCATTATAATAACGTATCTTTTTTTATCGATATGTTAGAATTTCGCGAGCCCGCAATGGAAAACGAAGTGAGTTAACAGCTGATATCGAATTGACTTACATTGCGTGCATTATAATAACGTATCTCTTATATCGATGTGTACGAATTCCGCGAGCCCGCAATGGAAAACGAAGTGGGTTAACAACTGATATCTTTTGTATCGATGGTTTGAATTTCGCGAACCCGCAATGGAAAACGAAGTAGGTTATCAACTGATACCGAATTGTATTACATTGCGTGCACTATAATAACGTATTCATTTTTTTTTAATACACTACCCACTTGCCTTGTATTTTTTGGTAGCAATCCAAAGTGTCCTATTCTTTCACGTGTATCTCTGACAGCTTTATAGCAGCACCCTAGAACACTGCTAAAGATATTCGACGCTTGAAAGGCAAACGTGACTAAGCGACAATGCGTGAACTTTACAGTAGACTAATCTAAAGTTGAAATACCTGAAATCAAAATTTATTTTAAAGAATCCAGCTGTATTAGAATCTAGCTAGTAGCTGTAGGATTGAAATGATTTTAATAGACCTAGAAATATATATTTTTTGCGCATCGAATATGGTTATTGCCTATCATTTATGTACAAAGCAGTTATTGTCGCTTAGTCACGTTTGCCTTTCAAGCGTCGATATGGATGACGGTAGGTCAAAAAAAAAACGTGTCGCCTCAACGTTTTCAATCGATTTTCGTAGTTAAAATAGAATTTAGTATCATGTTTTATATTCTTAATGAATTAAAATTTTCGTATATTGTACGCAGTATTCATAAGTATAACGGTTTTAAATATAACACATATTCAATTAGTGTAATAAAATATAGAGTAGTTTTTATAATGGAACACGCAACATGGATCAATGAATTAAGTTTCACTAGTGGACAATAAATGCAGTACGTGCCAAGCCATTTTTTTTTTCAAATTCAATTTGTGAAACAAAATAAAAAAATGAATTCGAGAAGTGAAATGCTGTTTGGTTTAAGCGTCATTTCGCTTAACACGCGACATTTATCTTTGTAATGAAAGGTCCGTTTTATTTGGTATTAGCATCAACAGTTCGATGTTTTCTAATTGAACTTGAATTATGTTTACTTCATTTAAATAGCTGAAGAAGATTTTTTGTTATAATATTTTTTCCAAATTTTAAACTTTAAATGGCTTTTCTGTAAAGATGCAACAATGTCGCTTAAACCAAATAGCGTTTCACCCCTTGAATTGAATCGTATTGTGTTTAGTATAAAACAATCAATATTTTTTTTCAAATGCCCCTTATTACTTTATTTGTATATAAAAAATAGGTCTACAACCAGAAAAAACTACAAAAAAAAATGCTTGACTCTTTCTTGCATAACAAATTTAATAAAAGAATGACAGCGTTATAATTTTACAGTGTCGATAATATATTAAGACAAAACAACTCAGTGTTTGTATATAAGGTTTAAAAAATAATATCAATACGATTAATCTCGCTTCAGAATCTCTTAATGTAAATTTTAACTCTACCCACGCCGCCAGGAGCTCTCGGGATGATTTTAGGGTTCTCATGACACCCCGTTAATGTAAACACGTTTTGATAATAGTGGAATAAAGAAAATCGCTTTCGACTAGGAAACATTAGATTTTATTTGAGAATCTTGTAACCAATGTATTCCAAACCCCATTATTTTAAAGGTTTTAAGAGGGATGGACTACATCACGGCGGGTTGTAGCAATGAGGTGATGGGTCACGATAACTCGGCTCATAAGTCTGCTATTTGAGTGCGAAGGTCTAAAAGGTCATAAATGAATTCATACTAAGGTGAAATTCATGCCAGCCCTATTTTGGAGATTGAGCAGTTGAATTAGGGTTGGCAAATTTTAGTAGATTAGGTCAAACTCTCTCGTAAGGCTCTGGGTGAGTTTTTATTAATAACGTCTATAGATATTAATAAAAGTTATCTGATTTTTACAATTTTGCTACGCGACCTGAAATGTTTTTTTTTTGTTTTAAATTCGCAATTTATCTCGGACTGCATTAGATATTTTAGGTTTTGTGATTATAACGATTCTAATTCCATCCAGTTTTAAAGACTTATTGTTTTGTAATTTCGGATATAATTTTTTTTTTGTATGTAGTGATAGTGAGTGTGTTTTTGAAAATAAAAAGAAGTTTAGTAACTTAATTGTGTTTTATTCTTCGTTGTGTGTGGGTTCTTTTTTTTTCATATGAAATTCAATGACCTGGTTACGAAATGTGTTTATATTAATTTTGTTATTTTTGTGTAATCTTATAGTTAAAATTTATGTTGTTTGGTTCGCAAGAACAAATTTAAAAAATGTATTGGTTTTCTGTATAGTTGATTTACGGACAATAGTTTTACATGATAACGTCAGTGGCAGAACTATTCGAACTGTTAGCTCTGACGTCACGCGAGAAGAGATAAATGTGTCACAAGCCAACGCTTGTTTTTTTTCGACCTATTCTAGTAAGCTCGAGGGGTTATACTAGCTAGATTCACAGAACTAGTAGGTGAGCTCACGGGGCTCAAACCTGGCGACGTTGCTAACACTAACCAAAGCAAGAACAGTGCTTCGCAGAATCTACCACCGGATCGGAAACGCGACCCTCGTGCGCGGTTGCGTCTTTGGGTTCATTTACTCGCCGAGACCTTCATGTAGGACTGGTAAGAACAGAACGTATGTAAAGAGTTTGGAACGGAGCTTTAAGGTGTGAGTGAGAGAAAACATTAAGAAAGGGAAAAGAGAATGACAGAAAATCAAAATGGCGAAGACGTTTAAATGAGCAAGGCGTAAAAAAGGTGTCAATTAGTTTTTAATTATTATAATAAAAAAGATTAAGGAAAAGGAAGGTAAAAGTGCAACATTCCCAATTCTACATACATATATAGATTATAAACAATGTCATATAATCCTTCAGGAAAGTCAAAAAATTTTTTAAATATATGAAAATTAAGTTGACTTTTAAGATACGTACACAAAAAATTATCAAAATTAGTTTTGAAACATATAAGTAATACTTAGTTAAAATAAAAATTAAATAAAAAAAACTCCAATTATCACACCATTTTAAATTTATTGAAATAACATATTTTATAGATACAATTATGAAAAGTGATTTTTTTTTCTTCTATATTTCCAAAACTATTAATTAATTATTAATTACTATAATGCCGTTTTTTAAATTAAAATAATGAAAAATTTAATTATTAATACGCGTATATAAAATGCATTGTACTTGATTGGATACTGCCGTTACAATACTAGTTCACGAGTAAGGTATGGAACAGTAATGCAAGTTTTGTAAAAGTTGCTCGTTTATGATATATATCGAAGAATGAAAAACTAGTTGGTTTAACCCTTCGACTGCCGTGTAGGTCAGTCATTATCACTTTATTTGTATATAAAAACTAGGTCTTCAACCAGAAAAAAACCATAAAAAAACGCTTGGCTCTTGCATAAGAAATTTAATAAAATAATGACAGTGCCATAATTGTACAGTGTCAGTATATATTAAGACAAAACAACTCAGTGTTTGTATATACGTTTTTTTTTTTGAAATATTAATACTTTACAGAAGTTGCAAGAATGTCGCTTAAACCCAATAGCCTTTCACTCGTTGAAATATATTTAACTTGACATATGTATAGTATATATGTACATAATATTTGACTTGAAATTGTTCTATTTTTATTACAACCAATTCAACAAATAAATTTTGGTAACAAAAATCCCTTCATTAAAATATATAATATCGAAATTTATTAATGAAATACGTATTAAAACTAAAATTTATTGAGCCCATTCATAATATTATATACCGTTACGTACATTAATTAATTAATTAATTACAAATACATTGTGTTTTATTAATTACCACATTAACGATAAGATCGACCACAGAGTATAAACAGCCAGGAGCAGAAAAATAATTTTCGCTATCTGATGCAAATAGTATAATCTGTAAAAGAAAAATTAGCGCGGGTAAATCACGGTTGTGGGACAAAGTTGTTGGAATTGCCTTTTTTTTATTGCTTAGATGGGTGAACGAGCTCACGGCCCACCTGGTGTTGAGTGGAGCCCATAGACATCTACAACGTAAACGCCGCCACCCACCTTGAAATATGAGTTTTAAGGTCTCAGTATAGTTACAACGGCTGAACCACCCTTCAAACCCAAACGCATTACTGCTTCACGGCAGAAATAGGCAGGGTGATGGCGCGGACTCACAAGGGGTCCTGCCACAAGTAATTACGCAAATTATAATTTTGCGGGTTTGATTTTTATTACATGATTTTATTCCTTCACCGTGGAAGGCAATCGTGAACATTAGTTGAGTACGTATTTCATTAGAAAAATTGGTACCCGCCTGAGATTCGAACACCGGGGCATCGCTCAACACGAATGCACCGGACGTCTTATCCTTTAGGCCACGACGACTGTCTTCGTTTTCGGAAGCGGTTTCCTAAAACCCAATATATACCAAGCTAAAAAAAAGCGTTCTAAGACAGTAAGTACTTTTTACTGGTGGTGGGACCTCTTGTGAGTCCGCGCGGGTAGGTACCACCGCCCTGCCTATTTCTGCCGTGAAGCAGTAATGCGTTTCGGTTTGAAGGGTGGGGCAGCCGTTGTAACTATACTTGAGACCTTAGAACTTATATCTCAAGGTGGGTGGCGTATTTGCGTTGTAGATGTCTATGTGCTCCTGTAACCACTTTATACCAGGTGGGCTGTGAGCTCGTCCACCCATCTAAACAATAAAAATAAAATAAAAAAGTAAGTATTAACATTACCTTTTCCACTTTATCCTGGCTCTCGGTAGCATCTCGTCGCTCTCTTTGAACAGGTAACGCCTGATGCCGGCCAAGTAGCTCTCGAAGTACTCCTCCCAGTTAACCTCCGCCATGCTGAACGGGAACAGCTGGCGACGCGAGGTGACTTATGAAATTGACGCTTAAGATTAAATTTGTTCCTATCTAAGCTGGTAACCTTAAACGGGGTATGCCAGCGTAACCTGACGAGTAGGTGAGCTTCAAACAAGGCTTGCGGAGAGTACTTAACGGTAGGCAGCGGCTTGACTCTGCCCCTGGCATTGCTGAAGTCCATGGGCGACGGTAACCACTTGCCATCAGGTGGGGCGTATGCTCGTCTGCCGACAAGAGCAATAAAAAAAAGAGCTCACGGGGCTCTAGCCTGTGGACGTTGCTAACACTGGCCCTAGCAAGAGCAGCGCTTTGCAGAATCTATCACTGGCTCGGAAACACGACCCGCTGAGAAGATCCGGCGAGAAGCTGAGTCGACAAGTGTATACAACACGCCCGGTGCACGCGTACTTGAAATGTACCGACGAATTTTGGATTTCACACCCAATTGAGTACAATATCGGATGGATTAATGTTTTTTAAAATTTTTTACACTACAACGGCTTTTTTTCTGGCTGGGGGCCGAAGCTCCTATGAGTTTTCCGCGCCTAGGTGACGCGCAAGGCATGTGGGACTGGTCCTCAACTGCGAACCGCGGGCCCAAGGATGTTTTTAGGGCCCTACCCACTAAACGACTCCTTTGCACTCTTACACCCGACGTCCGATCTCCAAGTCCGAGTAGGGGGGTTCCTGCGGGTTCAAAACCACAACCAGACTCGCGGCGACAGTCCAACGGCTGCCCCAATCTTCGAACCGTAACGCATTACTGCTTCACGGCAGAAATAGGCAGCGTGGTGCGGACTCACAAGCCGTCCTACCAAAAGCTTAAGGTTCTCTGATACCTCACCCTACGCCCCGTAATCAGCACTCACCTCTTTATCGTCGACGGTCGTCTGATCCCAGAGCTCCCTCGTTCTCGTGTTGCAAAAACTTATCTCTCTCGTCGTGAAATACGATAAGACCGATGAGAACTTATGTATCTTCTTGTAAACTTTGAGCATTCTGTTTTAATTAAAAATGTGTATCGATAAATTAGTTTGTATAAGTTTCTAAACTTCAAATTCAATTTCTATTTCAAGGTTAAAAAATCTTTTGTTACCTACTTATTCTTTTGAAATTAACAACAAATTAACAAATCTAAAAACAAAAACAAAAAAACAAAGAAGAAATCTCATTAAATACATGACTCGAAGATATTTAATCAACATAACACATTTACAAAATTGAATTTCATATTTACAAAGTTGAATTTGATTTTGTAAAATTGAATTTGCAGTTAAAAACCTATATATTGATGCGACGCGATCATATCGTGTTTACGGTGCCCGCCGAGCCAGGCCGGCAGTTTGCGGCCTGGCTCCTGCTAGTGCGACAGAGATAATGCTCTGCGAATCCAAAATTAGCCGACAGCCTCTATCTATAGGTCGGTGTGCAATATTTAACGCCTTTCTTTTCTACCTGAGCTGATGGTCTTGAAAGACCATTTCAGCGTAACTGAGCGAGTAGGTGAGCTCATGGGGCTCAAACCTGACGTTGCTAACATGAACCCTAGCAAAAGCCGTGCTTCGCAGAATCTACCACCGGATCGGATACGCGACCCACTGAAAAGATCCGGCGAGAAATTCAGTGGACTGTATCTGTGGGTTAATTTCCTCGCCGAGCCCTTCGTCGCAAGCGACGGGTTCGACCAGAACGATGACCGGTACTTAAGGCACCTAAAAGCACCGTTAATGGATCGGGAGGATCCGAAATGATGTGTTTTGGGCGACGTCGACTGTTTACCACGGTCCGCAGGATCGGGAATGTGTTTAATGTCGGGCACTGTACGCTTCTATCGCTACAGGCTCTAGGATGTAAGCCAGTGAAGCAATTTCGGAGACTCGATAAAAGGGACCACGGCATGAAGCTGGAGATTTATCAGGTGCTATATAGGAACGGCAAGATGTGCCTTCAGTCCAGAATATGACTGCAGCTAAATGCCACCGGATTCATTGACGGCATCGACTAGAATATTGCATGCTAAAATGAAACTAGCTAATCATTAATAGGGCATGCTACCCCCTACCCTTCAAACGGAGATGCGCTACTGATTAGCGACGTTTACGGGTAGTTATGTATCAGACCTGTATATATCCTGCCATTGGTATTGAAAACAGGAATACATGAGGACTTAAGTATTGATGATTATTAAAATCTAAATCATTGAAAATTCTTATGAGGGACCCAAAACAAACTGAAAGATCTAGGAAAGTTACTCACTTTGGTTTTCTTCCTAGACATATTGCGAGTGTATCCACTAGTAGAGCAGGTATGAGGTGTAAGAATAATATATAGAGGTTATTCAGAATGGCTGATCGCGTTAAACGCAAGGAAATGTACCTGAAATGTATATAGTATTCAATAAAGTGGATGTAGATTTGAAATCGTCGTGGCCTAAAGGATAAGACGTTCGGTGCATTCGTATGTAATGATGCAACGGTGTTCGAACCCCGCAGGCGGGTAGGTACTAATTTTTTTAATGAAATACTTTCTTAACAAATGTTCACGATTGACTTCCACGGTGAAGGAATAACATAGTCTAATAAAAATCAAACCCGCAAAATTAGAATTTGCGTTATTAATGGTGGTAGGACGTCTTGTAAGTCCGCACAGAAGGTATCACCACCCCGCCTATTTCTGCCGTGAAGCAGAAATGCGTTTCGGCTTGAAGGGTGGCGCAGCCGTTGTACTGTTAAAACTGAGACCTAAGAAATGTCTCAAGGTGGGTGGCGGCTTTTATGCTGTAGACGTCTATGGGCTCCGGTGTGAGCTCGTCCACCCAACTAAGCAATAAAAATTGTAAATCAAATCAGTATAGAGCTGCAGAAAAATGTCTACAGTAGTAGTTAGTATAGGGCTAGAGGATACTGAACAATACGTACCACACAGCATCACTGAAAGGATTTCGATCGATCATTTCCATGTTGTGCTTCATGAAGTCGCCCCAGGTTATCCTGTTTTCGACTGAACTGACGTAATTGAAGATCGGTGGATCGATGGGCCGTCGACTGAAACGTATCGTATGACTTGTCATTAATACGCTTTTATTAGCTTCAGACGTATATGTATGTTAGTATGTACGTAACGGAATCTTTTAACATGATTTTGTCCCCCTTCAAAACGTCGGATTAACTCGAAATTTGATATACTTATTAAGGACCGATGACAATTCAATATTTAAAAAAATATTGAAAATATTTAAATTCACCTAAAAAATTAAAAATAAATAATTGTTTAAAAAAACTAACAAAATACGCTTTTATAGAAAATCCAACAAAAAAATAGAAAATAAATTTTAATACATTTGAATTAAACATAGTGTAAAAAAATAGTACATTGCACAATGTACCAAGGGAGAATAGTTGGACATTTCCTGAGATATATATCTCAAGGTGGGTGGCGCATTTACGTTGTAGATGTCTATGGGCTCCATTAACCACTTAAGACCAGGTGGACTGTGAGCTCGTCCACCCATCCAAGCAATAAAAAAAAAGATTGCAAAATGATTTAGTGCAATCTTATTGGTTCATATTTCTCCGTTTCTCCATAAATTACGATTTTAAGCCTTGCGTCATCTGTTATTACGGTCGAATTTCGTTTGGAAAGTAGAGAGTAGGTTACGTTTTAACACGTGTGTGTCTCACCTTTTTACGTATGTGCTATGGACGGATTTCGCGGCGCAAATAAGACAGTTGACCACAGCATCGACCGGTACTATGTCGGCTGTGACAGTGCCATCGCACTGCAGCGTCCGGAGGATCCCCGTACCTGAAAGAGACGCAGGCATCATGCTGTCGCACTCGCACTGTAGTCCAAAATTCTTTTATTGTAGGGTAAACTGTTGCCGCCGGTAACTACATTCCCCATCCTGCAGACCTGAGAGTGGTAAACAGTCGATGTCGCCCAAAACACGTCATTTCGGATCCTCAAGATCCAATAACGGTGCTTTTAGGTACCTCAAGAACCGGCCACCGTTCTCGTCGAACCCGTCGCTTGCGACGAAGGGCTCGACGAGTAAATTATTTCTCAGACACAGCCCACTGAGTTTCTCGCCGGATCTTCTCAGTGGGTCGCGTTTCCGATCCAGTGGTATAGTAACCGGCAAACTTCTTGAGCAAATGACCTTGACTGCGCAGAACCGAATTTTAGATCACTTTGGTGGTGAGGGTGAGGCGCGACGGCAGGGGAAATCGTATCGAGCGCGTTATTGGTAGATCAGTCGAACCTTGCGTCCCGCACCGCGCCCTCTTTCCGCTTGCTCCCAAAAGTACGCTTGCGTACAGTAAAAAGTNAAAAATTATTACAACACAAATCTACTCCATGCATTTACTGTTCTGTTAAGCAAAAGTTTGTCCATGTGTTGGCCGAGCCTTGGCCAACATTTGTAGCGGTGGTTAAAAATCGGTAATTTTGTTCAAAATTTAATATTATTTATAAGTTTAAAGCTTAAAATATAGTTTACACTTCATGTACTTACCGAAAGTAAGATACTCCGGTCGTTAAATTGCTTTTTCGGGCCTTATTTTTGCAACTTTTGAATACACACTGCGGTATTGTGAGACGGGTTGACATTGGCTGTGTTTGAAGTGAACTAAACAAAATAACAGCTCACATTTCAAGTGAGCTGTTATTTGACGAGACGGATTTTATGCACCGACCCGAAATCTAGTTACTATTGTTGATCGAAGTTATCGTGTAACAAAAATCAAACCCGCAAAATTAGAATTTGCGTTATTACTGGTGGTAGGACCTCTTGTGAATCCGCACGGGTTGGTACCACCACCCTGCCTGTTTTTGCCGTGAAGCAGTAATGTGTTTCGGTTTGAAGGGCAGGGCAGTCGTTGTACTGTTAAAACTGAGACCTAAGAACTCATGTCTCGAGGTGGGTGGTGGCTTTTATGCTGTAGACGTCTATGGGCTTCGGTGTGAGCTCGTCCACCCAACTAAGCAATAAAAAATTGTAGATCGAATCAGTATAGAGCTGCAGAAAAATGTCTACAGTAGTAGTTAGTATAGGGCTAGAGGATACTGAACAATACGTACCACACAGCATCACTGAAAGGATTTCGATCGATCATTTCCATGTTGTGCTTCATGAAATCGCCCCAGGTTATCCTGTTTTCGACTGAACTGACGTAATTGAAGATCGGTGGATCGATGGGCCGCCGACTGAAACGTATCGTATGACTTGTCACTTTCTGAACGGAATCCTGTGCGCTGTGCTGTTGCCTGGATTGCTTCGAGAGCTGTTTGATGAGGTCTTAAGGAATATCTAATATAAGCACAAACTTAAGAGATATTCCATTGATCACCAAGCAAACTTTCGTGGTTTTTTTGGTGATTTTTTTTTATTGACCTGGTAGGCAGACCAGCATACAGCTTATCTGATGGTGAGTTATTATCGTCGCCCAAGGACTTCAGCAATGCCAGAGGCAGAGTCAAGAGTTGCCTAACGCAATTAACGTATGTTTCTATGCAGGATTCTATGAAGTTTCCGTTTAATACGGAATCCTTATGTTTTGACAATATGGTATAGTAGAGTAGGAGGAAGTGCCAACAACGTCTAGAGGGTATTAGCAGAAAGACTGGACGGACCGACCCTAGGCAGGTTCATCAAGCAGCATGTAGAACATGCAACAGCAAAAATGCCCAGGCTGCCAGGGACGGAGCTGATATACTTAGATTTACTTAAACAATAACATATGTAGTTCTTAAGTTATTTGTAATACTAACACACTATGATGTTTCGAAATAAAAGATTTCTATTTTATTTTTATATATTTATATAGTAGTAAAAGGAAGAGGTAGACCTTAGAAGAAATGGATGGATTGCGTGAAAGTCGATACGTGTAAGATGGGAATGAGCGAAGAAATGCTATCTATATGATAGAGGAGTATGGAAGGAAAAAACATGTTGCGCCGACCCCAAGTGACTGGGAGAAGGGCGGGAGAATAATGATGAGTATAAAAAGCAATTTTTCTAAGCCTAGTAATCCCGGTCAGGGTCAGGGATATTGCTTCGTCATCAGGTCTTGATGTGTGTGCGATTTTTCAAGTTAATCGGACGTGTTGAAGTCTCTGAAGATGTCGGAAGAATCCGTCACATAGATATGAGACGAGCTGATGCAAGCCTCCCAGGTCAGTTAGCTTCAGGCGAGCTTCTACAAGTTAAGCTCGGATTGGACAAAAGACCCTATCGCTGTGCTAACTGAGGATAAATAGTGTTATGAGCTGATACGAGTTACGTCTGATTATATGAGTAGTGTAATTGGAAGTTCCTCATAGTGTTTCCGGGATTTTATTTTTGTATTGCGTACCTACGCTGGTGCCGAATGGTCACCGTCGTTTATGGGGGTCATTGAGTATGAAATTCCCAACACTTATAGAGAATATAGAGAAGGAGTGCAGAATGTTAATATTTTTTTTAAATTATGCAAAACAAATACATTAAATCAATAAAAAAAACCTTAAGCACACTACTATGTATTTGACACACACACGCATATATATATATATATTATTAGACTCTTTTGTTTATTGTTAAAGTCTGTGGTCAAATCGAAAATAGATTAATATTGTTTGTCTTTAATAGTATTTGTCTATAGTGTAGTCTTGGCGAAATCTGTGATTATAGAAGTTTAATAAATAGTCTTTGGCAATAGAACCATATTAATGTTCAAACTTATAATTATAGTGAACTATTGTCGAACTTCGATTACTGCGGGACCAACTTGTACGTATAAATAGGTAAATATAAAAAGAAATTTAAATGTCATTTTCTTTTCTTAACCTTATCTTTGTTTTGTTTAGAAAATGATCCAACTAGCGTTAGTTTTTAAAAATGAATTTTAGCGCCATCTGTTATTACGGTCGAATTTCGTTTGGAAAGTAGAGACTAGATTATATTTTAATACGTGTGTCTCACCTTTTTACGTATGTGCTATGGACGGATTTCGCGGCGCAAATAAGACAGTTGACCACAGCATCGACCGGTACTATGTCGGCCGTGACGGAGCCATCGCACTGCAGCGTCCGGAGGATCCCCGTACCTGAAAGAGACGCAAGTATCATGCTGTCGCACTCGCACTGGAGTCCAAAATTCTTTTATTGTAGGGTAAACTGGAAACTGTTGCCGCCGGTAACTACATTCCCCATCCTGTAGACCGAATGGTAAACAGTCGATGTCGACCAAAATACGTCATTTCGGATCCTCCCGATCCACTAACGGTGCTTTTAGGTACCTCAAGCACCGGTCATCGTTCGCGTCGAACCCGTCGCTTGTGGCGAAGGGCTCGCCGAGTAAATTAACCCACAGACACAGCCCACTGAGTTTCTCGCCGGATCTTCTCAGTAGGTCGCGTTTCCGATCCGGTGGTAGATTCTGCGAAGCACGGCTCTTGCTAGGGTTCGTGCTAGCAACATCGTCAGGTTTGAGCCCCGTGAGCTCACCTACTAGTTAAGGTTACGCTGATATGGTATCTCTAGACCATTAGCTTAGCTAGGGGAAAAAAAGTAAACCGCAACTCGGCCTAGCGGTAAGGGCTGCTAATCGCTATTCACCGAGTTCCTCGTCGGAACTCCTCTGTGGGTCGCGATTCCGATCTGGTGTTGGTTCTTGCTAGGGCTAATGTTAGCTATTTCTCTCTGGTTGAGCCCCGTGAGCTCGCCTGCTAGTCTGTGGGTACTTGGAATAACTCCGCTACCAACGGTCAGGTCCGAAAAAAATATGTAATTTCTTACCACTGCCAACTGCGACACCTGTCGGCCCGTACATATTGTCCACCCAACTCTTCAATGGCTCCTTGCAGGTCGACGTGACTGAAATATTGTTTAAATGCAACGTAATCGGCAGAGTGGCTGAAACACAGCTCCTGTCCATGTTGTTAAAAAGTCAGGAAGTGTGAGCACCCGTGAACACACGTGAGCACCCGTGAGTGTACGTGAGCATACGTCCCCTTACGTTGTAGAGACAAGCTCTGGAGGACTTGTTGACTTGTGTTTGGACAAGAAATGCCTTTATGAATCTGTTTTATGTAAGACTTCCCGTAAAAAAAATTCTGAGCGTTTTTTAATTACATACATCACGCTCAGCGGACATTGTTAAGTGATGGCCAGGGCCCATAGACAACATGAATGTCGCCATCTTTATGATATGAGATCTCAGTTTCAATTGTAACCCGACCCTTGAAACCAGAACCCAAGATTGCGTCGTGACAGATATAGACAGAGTGTTGGTTCAATCCGTGCGTCCTCACCACTGATAAAAGCTGATTGTCGATGACTACACGCTGGTATAATACTTAGAGACCTTTTGTCTTTGCACATCAAAGTTTTTTGCAGACTTATACCAGAAGACCAGTAAATAAATACGTGATAGCACTGATGAGTATACATACCGATGGCCGGTCTAAAGATGCCCACGGGCACCCCGTTGGCGTTCACCCTGATCTCCTTCTCGGCTAGCGCCTTCGTAAACGTATAAGTGTTTGGCCAGGGTCCAAGAATCCTGAAAATTGGAAAGCATTCCTTTCAAATCGGATACCACTGGGGGTGCTTATTGAAAACCAAACTACACCAACTTTTTTTTTCCTACCTGTGCATAGAGCCTTCGGAGACTATTTCAGCTTCACCTTAACGTGTAGGTGAGCTCACGGGGCTGAAACCGGAGTGCTGCTAACACTGACCCTAGCAAGAGCAGTGCTTCGCAGGATCTACCACCGGATCGGAAACGTGACCAACTGAGAAGATCCGGCGAGAAACTCAGTGGGCTGTGTCTGCGGGCTAATTCGCTCGTCGAGCCTTTCGTCGCAAGCGACGGGTTCGATGAGGACGGTGACCGGTAACACCACCACTGACGAGGCCACCATATATATGACACCATGGTGGTTTTAAAAGAAACTAATAGAATTACTTCGGTAACATTGCGTTGATTTGCTCGTCGCTAAGTTTGCTGATGGTGGTTTCCAACTGCTGACAGGTCGGTTCACAGGCGTAGAACTTCTCCTCGATCTTGGGCAGGTGAGAGTTGGAGTACGCTGTTGAGATGTGCATCAGAACCTGCGGAGGTGATGTTATTCTCTCTTATAAACTTCGTCCACGATTTTAGGCAATCGCGAAAAGACGCTTGACTTATTAAGGATGCTCCACTAGATATTCCAGATGCCCAGATTGTCCTCAATTTTTGCCGCGTACCCGTCTGGAGGGCGGAACAGTCGTCACACATTCGACATTGCAACTTCAAGTATCAAGGTAGCGGCAGCAGCGTTGGAAGTGATATCCAAAAATCGGTTTTCGATTTGCTGGTTGTGGAAGCGAGAGGTCCATCCACACGTCTCAAACCTGGAGCAGAACGTGGACTCATCATCAAATAACTCACATCGAGCTTCCTCATGTCCCGCGCTAGCCGTAGCAGATGCAATGGCGCCCTCACGTTAGTGGTCAGAGCCGCGCGGAGGTGCTCGTCAAATTTCACTGTGGCGGCTGAGTGGAAAATTATGTTCACCTGCACATAATAATTACCAGTGCTATTTTAATTCTCATCTTAGTAAAATTCGCCCCTATGTTCATGTCGCTTGGCAGCGAGATCTTGAAGAATATAAATGAAATACTCGTAGTATGCAGGAAGGAAATGTATAGATAATTGGATTAATAAATATGGAGCAAGGAATTACAGAGATAGGAGATGTCGTGTTAGAAGGTAAGAGGGACGGCGAATGAATGTTTGAATAATGGTTTTTTTTAAAGCGAGAGGAGAGTGTAGGGTCCTATAACCTACACACACAAGCTTCATCACAATGGGTCGCAATTCCGATCCGGTGGTAGATTCAGCGAAGCACTGTTCTTGCTAGGGCTAGTGTCAGCAATCCCCCTAGATTGAGTCCGTGAGGCTCACCTACCCGTCCGGGCGTAGCTGGAAAGGCTAGTCTACTTGCAATTCAGTAGGAAACAAAAGGGAATCCGCGTACTGCGATCAACAGTCGGCACTTTGTCGCACAATTAAGTACTTGTGTACGCGAAGGAGTCATAAGTTCCAAACTATATTCCGAAATAGCCCTTATACTGCTGAAACTTAAGTCCAATGTGGCGAGGTTAGTTTTTTTCTTACCTAAGCTGGTAACCTAGATAGTTATGCCGGCGTAGCCGGCGAGTAGCTAAGCTCTCGAGGCCCTAACCTAATGAAGTTGCTAACACTGGCCCTAGCAAGAGCAGCGCTTTGCAGAATCTACCACTGGATCGGAAACGCGACCCACTGAGACGACCCGGCGGGAAACTCAGTGGGCTGTTTCTATGGGTGGGGTCTGAGATGATGTCTTAGTGGTACTCGGCGGAGACTGTAGCCATTTCTTTGATGAATTCCTTAGTCGATACGAGAATGAGAAGGATGTAGTGATGCTGTCTTAGAGTAGATAATTATGGAGTATCTTACCTTTTCGGTGAGCATATGCCTGTCCGACAGTGTCAACCCTAGCCCGGCAGCCTCGCAGTCAGCTGGCACCACAACGATCTTGTGCCTAAACTTCGGCACTTGTGTTTTTAAGCGGTCGAAAACCTTGAACAGTTTATTTGCGTTAACGAGTCGTTTACACGGGATAACAATGGTCAATAAGCATGGCGAGGGTTGAAACTCCTATATAACGTGTTTATGTTTGACCAATAAAATAGATTTTATTTTAATTCGTCGTTATTAAAGTGACCGGAATTTTGACTGAGATAATTTTTATATCTAACACGTTGACTCCGGGATCACTATTGAGGGATTTTCAGCCAGTGCGTATGAGGCTTTTCGGGGTAAGATTTGACCTCTTTCTATGCTTATGAGACCTGATAGGCCTCATAAAGGTCCGTTTTTTTACCATACTCATAGAAATGTGGGCATAGTCGGCTACTGTACAGAGCGAAAATCGCGGTTTCGTCTGCCGCACCAGAAGACAGTCTTTTTAATGCGGTAGAGGGAGAAGAGATCGACCGAAGAAGACATGGACGCAGTGTGTGAATGACGATATGAGAGATAGAGGAGTGTTGACTGATAGAAGAGAATGGAAGAGAAAAATTAGCTGTGCCGACCCCACCTAGTGGGATAAGGTGAAAAAAAATAAGAAGAAATCCAAGTCAACGTGATAATTAAAAAATAAACTGTCAAATTACTTTCAGCTAAGTGCAATAATTACACTAAAAGACTAGACTCCCGTAAAAAAAACTCACATACAATATATATTTTTTTGTAAACTATTGGTATAATTGAAATTACTTTTACGACTTAATCTCGCTCATACCAAAAATACTTATTCAGCTATTTGAATGAGGTAAAATTAACTAATGTTCAATTAAAAACATCGAACCGTTGATGCTAATACCAAATAAAATTACAAAGATAAATGTCGCGTGTGTGAAATATCCCTTAAACCAAATCCTTTTCACAATCGAGTGGTGAATTTTTTTTTTTTATATATTTAAAGATTATTGTTGGCCCGGGGCCTTTGCAGTTTTACCAGGACAGGTGGGCGTGCAAAGGCTCAGACAGGAGGGGTGGGATTTGCTAACAGCTGCCCGAGCGCCTCCGAAGGACAACTCATGAGAAGCTGCTTCGCGAATGAATCTACTACCGGATCGGAATCGCGACCCGCTGAGAAGATCCAGCGAGAAACTCAGCGAGCTGATTCATGGGTCAGGTTGCACATCGAACTCTTTGTCGAGTTCGACGAGTACGGTTACCGGGGTCTCTAAGCCTGCTCCTAGTGTTAGAACTGAAGGCCTCTGAAATTATGTATGGTATGGGGGATGTATTACAATATGCCTCTAACAAGTGCACATATATGCATCTGTTTGAGAACAACTTTATTCTATATGTAAATACTAAACAGTAAACATACTTTGCCGACGTCCGCATGAATTCTGCACTCAAACAAATATTTACCGATCGATTCACAACAACACAAGCCTTGACACAAATCGATCCATCAACACACTTTATATATAGGTATATAATAAAACGTTTATCTGCGTTGTTATATAAATCAGCCCACAGAGGTCCACTGTTGGACATAGGCCTCCCCCGACCGTCGCCACAAAGATCGGTCCTCAATAGGTCGTTGGTCATTCTTTTTTTTTAATGCTTAACTGAATGTACGAGCTCACAGCCCACCTGGTGTTAAGTGGTTACTGGAGCCTATAGACATCTACAACGTAAATGCGCCACCCACCTTGAGATATAAGTTCTGAAGTCTCAAGTATAGTTACAAAGGCTGCCCCACCCTTCAAACCGAAACGCAAATAACTCAATATTACGCCAACCGATTTCGATGATTACTGTTTTAGTGTATATTGATATTTTTTTTGGAATATCTTTTTTTTTCTATTTGAAGTCTGTTTTTGTTAAAGCATGTCTATTTACAATTATTTATCTTTATCTTTATCTTGAAGCTAGGTTAATAATAATACTAGTAGGACGTAGCGTGGGTAGGCCTAAAAAGTCGTCGTGGCCTAAAGGATAAGACGTCCGGTGCATTCATATCTAGTGATGCAACGGTGTTCGAATCCCGCAGGCGCGGTGGGTAAAATTTTTTCTAATGAAATAAGTACTTAACCAATGTTCACGATTGACTTCCACGGTGAAGGAATAACATCGTGTCATAAAAATCAAACCCGCAAAATTATAATTTGCGTAATTACTGGTGGTAGGACCTCTTGTGAGTCTGCGCGGGTAGGTACCACCACCTTGCCTATTTATGCCGTGAAGCAGTAATGCGTTTCCTTGGAACGTAGAAACCTTAGAACGTAGGTATATCTCAAGGTGAGTGGGCAAATACCAAGCCTTGAGAAAAATTACCGGTTCAACAATGTTATGGTTCGTAGGACAGGCAAATAAACATTAAACCCTCGCGGCGATCGATCAGTAATCCGTATGCGCTTGCCACAAATACCCCACTCACCGGATCTTCGAATATTTCTTCGATTCTCGTATAAATATCTTTTCCTTTCTTTTGTCTGACTAGTAAATAGAGGTTCTCGACGCCGGGGCAGCTCCTTAATAGTTTCTCGATCAAAACTTTACCAAGGAAGCCTGGAACAAAGAGACGTGAGTTAGGTACATAATATACATAAGCGAATTGGCCGATCTATGCAGGGGGGTTGGCAAGAGCTAGATGTCACATCTGACCGGGGCAATGCAAAGTCATCGTCGCCCGAAACATGTCTTGTCGGATCCCCCGGATTCACTCTCGGTGCTTTTGGGACCCTCAAGCACCGGTCACCGTCCTCGTAGAACTTGTCGATTACGACGAAGAGTTCGGCGAGCGAACTAACCCATAGACACAGCCCACTGAGGAGTTTCTCGTCGTATCTTCTCAGTGTATCGCGATTCCGATCCGGTGGTAGATTCAGCGAAGCACTGCTTTTGCTAGGGCCAGTGTTAGCAAATTCTCTGAGGTTGAGATCGTGAGCTCACCTACTCGTCCGGGCGTAGCTGTAATAGCCTCGTAACCAGCGAATAGGTGGGGGAAAAAAGCTAGATGAGAGAAGCTGAGGATCCTGCTCAATGTTGAGCGATTGGAGAGACCAATATCCAGCATTAAAAGCATTGGAAGATTTGTCTGCTGTATGAATTGATTTATGTTTAATTATATTGATTTGTTATTGGTAGTAGGACCTCTTGTGAGTCCGCACGGGTAGGTATTTCTGCCGTGAAGCAGTAATGCGTTTCGGTTTGAAGGGTGGGGCAGCCGTTGTAACTATACTGAGATTTTAGAACTTATATCTCAAGGTGTGTGGCGCATTTACGTTGTAGATGTCTATGGGTTCCAGTAACCACTTAACACTCCACTTAACACCAGGTGGGCTATGAGCTCGTCCACACATCTAGGCAATAAAAAATAAAAAAAAAAAAAAAATTTATTTATTATAATAAATATTAGTATCATGAATTGATTAAAAGTTATTTTCTCAATTAAGTAATTAAAAAAACCCATATGGATTATAAAAAATATTATTTTATTAGCTATTCCCACCTTGTCCATCGCATGCCGAGAGCTATGGCTTCAGTACGAAATGATTCATAAATTATTTGAGTTACGTGCTTACAAATAACTTTTACAGCAAATAACAATATTGTGTCATATTTATTGTAAAGGTTACATATATAATGCTAATTCCGCCGAGGTCGTCCGTGCGATGGGACCTTGAATATCACAGCTTACGTTTCTGTCCCCGTTTATTAATTAATTAGTTCGGTATTTGATTTAATTACGTGATTTTGACAAAGCCTACGTACGTGCCTAGATAGACAGCGGGCTTACTATGTGGTTGCGTCCACGCATTTTCGAGCATGAAGTCGTGGACTGTATATTGAACCATCACTTACCTACGAGTGCAATACGTCTTATAGTAGGTTGAGGAAAAGTCTTTTTTTTTGCTTTATAGTATGTATGAACTTGTAACAAAGTCTCTTTGGCTATACTATTTGTATCTGGCTGGTTTTGGTATCATTAAAAGTTGAAATTTTAAAGAAGATAATTCCAAATTCAAATTAGGAAAATGTGTGATTTTCATTTATTTTTCGTACTGTCAAGATGAGTGAAATTTTACTACAAAAAAGGTAAAAATGCAACGCAAGCCGCGAAAAAAATTTGCGATGTTTCATTGCGATTGCTGTTTAGTGCAGTGTCTGTGAGAGTAGCACAAATTTGGTTTAGGCGTTTTCAATCCGGAAATTTTGATATCAAAGACGCACGTCGCTCTGGCAAGGGCGGATCCAGCTTTGGCGCCAGGAGGGGGTCACATAGTCAAATTAAGATGCGTTCGTTCCCAAACGTTTGCCATTATACAAAGTTATTATATTATATTCAATTACTTAAATATTGAAGGCATGTAGTTACATAAAATCTGTATGGTGACAAAATATATAAATAAAATCATTATATTCAATTAGTGATCCACCTAAGTCCTGGACCCAGCTCAGGGGGTGGTCATGACCCCCATGACCCTCCCCCTGGATCCGCCATTGCGCTCTGGTCGCCCTATTACGGATAAAATGGTGCCATTTTTGAAAAAGTGGAGTAAGATCGGCATACCAGTAGTTAAGACGTAGCTGAAGAACTGGGAATTGACCACAAAACAGTATTGGCGCATTTGAAAAAAAACACAAAAAGCTCGATATTTGGGTACCTTACGAGCTCACTGAAAGAAACCTAATGAGCCGTGTGCTCATTTGTGATTCTTTAATACGACTAAAATTTCTATAGCAATGGGATCACCTATAAGATGGCAAAAAGTTATCGAAAAAAATGATACCTACATACTTTAGTTAAATGTAAATAAACTATATTAAAAAATGTTGTGAATTTTCTTAAAAAAGGCGAAGAAACATTTCCCCGACCTATTACTTTACTAGAAAAATTCGATCTGCCTGCGGGATTCGAACACCATTGCTTCTCTAGATACGAATACACTGGGCGTCTTATCCACAAAGCCGCCACGACTTCGAGGTCTGCATGAATTCAAATTTGTATTAATTATAAAATACATAAATTACTTTCGAATATATTTAAATAAATATTTTTAATTCCCGTGGCCGCGGGTGGTCAACGTATTATTTTCGTGCGTTACGAAATCGCGACATCGTGTAAATGTTTTTTTAATCTTGCAACTTCACCGTAGTCGGTCAAGGAACTCGCCATCAACTGAGTCGTCAACGTCAAATTGAACACGCGATTATAATGAGAATGTAGGTGCTTAACTTTAATGAGTATGTAATGGCTTTTGTTTTTAAAACATAAACAATGTTACTGTCGCGGTGAAGGTTCAAAAGGAAATTAAGCTTGTTTTTTTTTTTTGTTTGAAGAAATACGTACTCTTTTTGTTTCATTCAAACATTGCTTGTCGTTTTTTTTCGGATAATATGGCATTTAGCTTTTTGTGACGCTATTGTTGCCAGTGTCGCGTTTTTGTAGTGTTGTTTGATAATGTTTTATTTTTATTTATGATTGAAGAATTTCTGGTGGCCTGGACGCCTTTCCAGTTTCACCAGGACAGGTGGGCGAGCAAAGAAGGATGGGGCAGTCGTAACTATACTGAGACCTTAGAACTCATATTTCAAGGTGGATGGCCGCATCTATGTTATAAATGTCTATGGGCCCCGGTAACCACGTAACACCAGGTGGGCTGTGAGATCGTCCAATCACCTACGCAATAAAAAAAAGATAAGAAAATATATTTGTGAAAACATCTTTCGTTTACGTAAGCCTGTGCGTTTATTTATTAAAAGAAAAGCTGTGCTTATTCAGCTTCCGTCGGGACTTTTTTTTTACTTGTACCCTCAAAGCGCTATTCTGGTTTCATTTTGGCTGGAGGGCGAGCTCACGGGAATAAATCTGAAATAATTTGCTAACATTTACCGTAGCAAGAGCAGTGCTTCGTTGAATCTAACGCCGGTTCGGAATCGCGATTCAGCGGGTAACTGAATAGGTTAAGTTGCACGTTAAATTCTTTCTCGCATTCGACGAGAACTTTGGCCGGTGTTCGGAACGCCTACCCCTAAACGCTGCCAAAATAGTTCCGCCATTCACTATAACGAGTAATCTAGATTAGTAATCTAAGTAATCTTAGTCCTGGTGAAACTGGAAAGCCCTCAGGGCCACCAGTAATCTTTCAATCATAAAAATAAAATAAAAAAAGCTAGTAATCTGTACTCACCAGACACGCCGATAATCAAAACATTTTTGCCCCACCAGTAATACTTCTATACTTAATATTATAAAGAGGAAAGATTTGTTTGTATTGAATAGGCTCCGAAACTACTGAACCGATTTGAAAAATTCTTTCACTGTTTGGAAGCTACACTATTCCCGAGTGACATAGGAGGTAATCAAAACAGTTTTGCCCCATCCGTAATAGGTACTACAAACATAAAAAAAGTAATCTGTACTCACCAGTCCCGCCGGTAATCAAAACGTTTTTGCCGCTGTAAAACCTTTGCACTTCCGACATGTTTACATCCTGGTTCGTGTCTTCGTTCACACTGTAAATGTTGTGTTCGCAATCCCCGCAGTAATTACTCTCTTTATAATCCTCCATGATCCGCGATATCTTCGTGCTCAATTCATTTGTTTTAATATAGTTTTCTTCGATAGCAACGGGCGCCATTTTTTTTTTTCAACCTCGATCACTGCATATTTTTTAACCTGCGAACAAAAGTCATACGTATTTAATTTGGCTAAATATAAAGTAATATCGCACATATATAGATATAGTAATAAATATGGCTAAATATATGTTAGAGGAAGTGTGAAAGTGGCACCTGTGACAGAGAAAATGAGAAGTGCGCGTTTGGGATGGTATGGACACGTGATGAGACGAAATGAAAATGAGGTTGGTAAGAGAATGTTAACTGTTGAAGTCGTCGTGGCCTAACGGATAAGACGTTCGATGCATTCGTGTTGAGCGATGCACCGATGTTCGAATCTCAGGCGGGTACCAATTTTTCTAATGAAATACGTACTCAACAAATGTTCACAATTGACTTCCACGGTGAAGGAATAACATCGTGTAATAATTTTTTTTCCCCCACCCTTCAAACCGAAACGCATTACTGCTTCACGGCAGAAATAAGCAGGGTGGTGGTACCCACCCGCGTGGACTCACAAGAGGTCCTACCACCAGTAATTACGCAAATTATAATTTTGCGGGTTTCATTTTTATTACACGATGCTATTCCTACACCGTGGAAATCAATCGTGAACATTTGTTGAGTACGTATTTCATTAGAAAAATTGGTACCCGCCTGAGATTCGAACACCGGTGCATCGCTCAACAAGAGTGCACCGGACGTCTTATCCGTCAGGCCACGACGACTTCCAAAATGTGGAAGGATATAGAGGAAGAGGTATACACCTAAGAAGAAATTGATGGATTGCGTGAAAGACGGTATGGGTAAGAGGGGAGTGAGCGAAGAAATGGCTAAAAATCCAAGCGCTCTTTAGTTACACTTCCTTTAATACTACAATTTAACAAAAGCTTCGTATTACTTAGAGAACATAAAATGCATTTACTGGTGCTAGGACGTCTTGTGAGTCCGCGCGGGTGGGTACCACCGGCCTGTCTATTTCTACCGTGAAGCAGTAATGCGTTTCGGTTTGAAGAGCGGAGCAGCCATTGTACTGTTAAAAGTGAAACCTTACAACTCATGTCTCAAGGTGGGTGGCGGCATTTACTTTGTAGATGTCTATGGGCTCCGGTAACCAGTTAAGATCAGGTGGGCCGTGAGCTCGTCCACCCATCCAGTAAAACAAAAAAAACTCTATGAGAGATCTTTCTCGGTCCTGTATTCCCTACCTATTCACTGGTAGCCTAAGAGGTCTTAAGCGATGCTGTTTCAGGTCGACAGTGTTCATGTTGTTAAGGCAGGCTTAATAGGAGGTTCGGCCCTCTACCCGAAAAAAAAAAAAAAAAAAGGCTTAATGATGAGATTCAGTTTAATACTTCAGAGCATTTCCACAGTCTAGTCACAACAGATTTACTCATATAAATATAGTAGTGTATAATTCAATGGATAAATTGAGTAACAAAATTGATTATGAATAAGAAGAAACTTTTTTTTTCCTACCTATGCTGATAGGCTTCAGAGGCTATTCCAGCTACCCCCGGACGGGTAGATGAGCTCACGGGCTCAACCTGAGAGAATTGCTAACACTAGTCCTAACAATAGCAGTGCTTCGCAGAATCTACCACCGGATCGGAAACGCGACCCACTAAGAAGATCCGACGAGAAACTCAGTGGGCTGTGTCTATGGGCTTGTTCTGACGTCGAACGGAAGGGCGGTGACCGGTGCTTGAAGAGCTTAAAAGCACCGAGAGTGTATCCTGTCTGACAAGACATGTTTTGGGCGACGGCTGCTCTGCTTTGCCATGTCGCTCGGGTCAGATATAAGTGTCGACCTGTTTGTTATTCAAAGAGTGGTCAGAAACATCGCAGACACACTTCTATTAGACTCTAGGTTTTTCGGTCCGGTCGTGCTCTAAACAAAACAAGTTTCATTCGTTTTGTGTTTGGGTCGACAAACGAAAACAAAAACACCTAATGTAATGCGAATAACAAATTTATAATCTACATTCAAAAATAAAACTTTTTTTTTTTTTGCCGTAATATAATATCGAATGGGAGAGGTTATTTAATAATAATAATTTATTTATTTCTCTCTTAAAGGTATAGTTCAAATTCAAATGGAAATAAATTAACCTTATAATTTTTTTGTAAGCCTTTGAAAGAGCTGAAGTCTGTACTAGGTTCAAAGACCTGTATTACTGATCTCCAGGCTCCCTCCTTCTTAAGATAGATTAGGTTAGGTTAAGTCGTGAACAGATGCTGCGGACTAGTGTTGAGAGATCACTAGGTGTTATATTTTAAGAAGGTCATTATGCGTGTGCGTGTGCGTGTGCGTGTGCGTGTGCGTGTGTGCGTGTGTGTGTGTGTGTGTGTGTGTGTGTGTGTGTGTGTGTGTGTGTGTGTGTGTGTGTGTGTGTGNGCGTGTGTGTGTGTGTGTGTTTGTGTGTGTGAGTGAGTGTGTATATGTGGGCGTGTGCGCGCATGCATGTTGTGTTGTGTTTTTGTTGTATTGTGTTGTATTTGCCTTAAGAGATATTTTTTCAACTTTACAGGAAGCCATTTAAAGTTTAAAATTTGTAAAAAATATCATATGCGGCTATTTGAATGGAGTTAACTTAATTAAAGTTCAATTAAAAAAATCGAAATAGTTGATGCTAATACAAAATGTAAAACGGACCTTTAATTACAAGGATAAATGTCGCGTGTTAAGCGAAATGTCGCTTAAACCGAATAACCTTTCACCTCTCGAAATGTAATCTAATGTATAAAATTGTAAAAATTTTATATTAAAAAAAATTCTAACATAATAAAAAAAATCATATTTAAAAAAAAAAGACATGCCCTCTGAGTTTCTTGCCAATTCTTCTCAGGACGGAGGCTAGCTCTTGTGAATTGGCGGTAGTTCTTTTGACGTTCAACAAGTATGTACTTTCATTTATGTAGATTTTGATTTGATTTGTATTGATTTGATTTGATAAGATTCTTCTTCCTATTCGTACACTCTTGATAGAGTGGTCATGGTCACGCATCAATCGGATACAACCTGCTCATGACTCTCGTAGGAAATTAGTGCAATGGTTTCCCGTTGCCTTCTGCACCAGCATTTTAGGGGGTATTTGATCCCCAAGGTTTCTGAAGCCTCTTCCGAACAGGTTGCCCTGACGGGTGTGTGTGGTTATACCGCCATTGCTCGGTCGCCATTGCCCCGTTGGTTTTCTACTAGGGAGCACCACGGCAACCTGTTGGTCGCCGCTGCCATCCGGCACGTGCAGGTAAGGTTGACAATAGGGCCGGTGAAGGTACCATTCCGATCTCCCCTTACTTATATAAGATACATTTGCGATTTAAATCGACCAGTAATTTCAATCTTTATCCGGCAAAAATATTTGTTCAATTGTATTTTTATACGCTTTTATCAGCTTCAAACGTATGTATGTAACGGAATCTTTGAAAAAACTTTTTACTGGTGGTAGGACCTCTTGTGAGTCCGCGCGGGTGGGTACCACCATTCTGCCTATTTCTGCCGTGTAGCCGTAATGCGTTTCGGTTTGAAGGGTGGGGCAGCCGTTGTAACTATACTTGTGACCTTAGAACTTATATCTCAAGGTGGGTGGCGCATTTACGTCGTAAATGTCTATGGGCTCCAGTAACCACTTAACACCAGGTGGGCTATGAGCTCGTCCACCCATCTAAGCAATAAATAAAAAAAAGAGCCGACGCGGTACCATACGTACCGGTCTTTAATTGGTAAATCTGTAAGGGTTTTGATGGGTCGTCACGCCACAAAATCAGTTGAAGCTGGCGTTGATCTTGTGGCGGGTAGCCATCATACAACGCAAGATAATTGACAGATGCCTGAATCTCGCTTACGACATTTTCAAGATAAAGCGCATATATACAAGTTCCGAACAACAACATTCGGACCGTCAGTCTACCGAGCAATATCACCCGCTCGGTGGAAGATCTTCCCTTCGTCGTATATTCATACAATCTTCAGTGACTAAACAATCACGATACATTTTTTCCACATTACTGAATCAACTACACCTTTAATTCGTAAGTAGAATTTATCATGGAATCAATTTGCAAAAGGATTTCGCTATAAAATACCGCTGACTACCGCTGTCTATATACGACTATAGTTGTCGATAATAGAACAGAAGGCGAATTTATACAATCATTATGCATTTTTGTGCATTATTTACGCGAATAGGGAGCGAATCTGCGACGCTTGATGTGGCGGGGTCGGTGGGTGTCATAGAAGCGCACGCAGCGGCACTCACCGCTTTGCCAGTCCACAGTTGCCAGATTGGGAAGATTCGGGGGGAAAGATTTGGGGGGGTGGGGGGTGAAGTTAGTTGGGAGATATTTGGGAGGTTTTGTTTGAGAACCAATAATTCATCCACAAACACAATTCCCATCACTATTATTCACAAGTAAAAATTATAAAGGACAAATTACGCAATCGAATCGACATATTAAAAATCTTTACGTGTATGCTTTAAATAATAAAAATGTGTGTATATGCAAGTCACACACGGTAGAAGTGAAACTTATAAAATATAAAAATAATCACAAGGGTCAACCACTTCGCAGTGAAATGGAGCACCCCGGGGGAACCGCCTGCATGAGCACGGTATCCCGATGCCAAGTAGGTATGATTTAGCAAGAGAAATACGAGAACGTCTACGTCTATCAACTGTGTAACATCTCGTCAGGAATTGCGATTCAGGAGTTGTTGAATTTACGTGCAGCGATATCTGTTGATAATAAACTAAATAGAAATGAAATAAACATGGCGCGTAACGGAAGAAATTAAGATGGCGCGTAACCGAAAAACGTTACATACGTTTTTCCTTCCTGCGTTGATAAAGAAGATTCACTTCAATAACGAAAGTGAATATGATTGTAATAATTGCTTAGAGATCGTTAAAGTTATGGGAAAGCCTGATTAAAAAATAAAATAATACTTTTGGTTTTTTTATTTTTTCTTTAAAATAAATAAAAACTGGCTTGGGGTGGTTTTTTTTTTCAAAAATCCCATTTTCGGGGGTTTTCGAAAAAAGTTGCGGGGAAATT